GACTGAAGTATTCGGTGAGTAACTGTACTGCCTTATCAAAATCATCTGGTTGTCCTTTTTCAGGAAAAGTCTCAAAGATATCCTGCACTTGTTCTCCAGCATAGTACAGAAGCATAGCCCTTTTTCTTGTTTTCTCAGTAATGGCAGCTGCAGTGAGAAACGTTTCAAATCTCTTCATCCACTTTTTCCATTTTAGGGAAAGGGAGGCTGGTTCTGCATTTACATCAAAGAGGGGGAATGAGGGTAATTCAGCCACGCCAGCCATTGTTGTTGTAGTTTTGTTTCTCCGTTTTATTATTTTTTTTTTCGGAACTACTACTGTCCAGGTATGTCCATGTGTGTCTCGTTGTTGCTAGTTTTCGTGTTGTTTTTGTTTTTGGTATTAGCACGTCTTTCTTGACTGTAGTGCTGAGCGACGTCTCACGGAGCTTCCAAGATGAGAGTTCAGTTCGTAAGAATTGCTCCGGAGAGGTTATTGCATTTGTTTGTTTGGTTTTTTTTCACTTGACCATCTGCTCACGAGTCTGTTAGCAGCACTGTGGCTCTCCTGTGGTTTTTATTTAGTGTTGGATCTGTAACCATAGTAGTAAAGAAAATGTTTAATTTATTCCTTCCTATACTTTGATTTAAATCATTAAAATTAACTAAAACCCAGATTTAATTTAAATTGTGCAACAAGTTTAATCATTTAACAAGTTCCCTTAGACAATGGGCAGACCCACCCGTGCTGGAGGACTCGCACACCAAAAAGACTGTAACTGTGGACCAGTTCTTCCAGAGGAGTCAAAAACACTTCCCAGTCAGAGGGAAATATTACAGCAACCAATAAACTCTTTGAAACTACAAACGGTGAGTCAAAAATATGGAGGACTGAAAGTGCCACAATTAAATAAATAAATACACCATTAAATAATTACTTAAATGTGTCATTAATTAATTCAAATACTGATTCATTTTATGTTAACTACATATATAATTATTTCACTATTTACATTTACATTTCATGGTCCTGCGTTGCAGTGCTTCATGAATTACTTAAAACTGTCAAAGCCAGCCATCAAACTCAAAGGGTGGGGCCAACGCAAATCTAGCCTGATCCATTGCTTTGGTCTGAAGTAGAGTGCCAGGAAGATCTTCATGAACTTTCTAGGGCAGAGGTCGCTAACAGGTGAGTCTGGACCCAGACACCGTCCTATGCGGACCCAGACCTATAATCAATTAAATATTGAGGATTCTAAATTTTGATGGGGAGCTTCTATTTTAACCGGCACAGCTTTTTTAGTCTTTACGGTATTTGTTTAGCAGATCAGGAAGCTCACAGACCAATCGCATGCTAGTTAAGCCATCCCACGTGATTCCGCTCAGCCAATCAAATCTGTTTAAACAGCGCGACTGAATACAGAGATGAGAGCGATGAGAGAGGAGAGACAGACCGAAAGAGAAGTCACAGATACATGGAGAGGAAACGGAGAGATGAGTGAGCGCGAGACAACAGAAGATTTATGGCGCTCTCTAAGAAGAGAAAAGTGGATAGAAAATCGAGCTTTTAATGGACAGATTCATTCACATTCATTCTTCCCACTGGGAGCACATAACCAGTGTCTCATATGTTCAGAGACCGTGGCGCTGATTAAAAGTGCCAATGTGAAACGCCACTATGAGACAAAACACAAAATTTTCATCAAACATACCCACTCAAGTCTGAACAAGGTCACAGAAAATAAGCAGGCTCTGATCCCAATATGATCACTCAACCAGTATCCTGACCAGTGTTGGGAGTAACAGCGTTTAAGTATAACGGCGTTACTAACGGCGTTATTTTTTCAGTAACGGAGTAATCTAATTAAGTACTTTTCCCATCGTTGCAACGCCGTTACCGTTACTGAGAATGTAAAGTGGCGCGTTACTTGCGTTCCTACAATGTGGTGAATGAAGCACAGCGGTGTCAGGCTTTCTGACAGCCACACATCAGCTGCCAGGAGAGGGCAGGGTGGTGATGATGACACCGTTGCAAATACAATGATGATTGGCTGGGTGGGTGGATGCCAAGACAGAGACAATGGCGACGAGCTAGGGAAATTCAAAGGTAGCGATATCAAACTGGAAGTACCGACACTACTACTCACTTACTGAAGTTGAAGGCAAGAATGTTTATGTAACATGTGTGAATTTATTTTCAGTATTTATTTTGTATATATTTTTATTTCAATGCATATGGCCGGCTGCAATCTATTGAGTTCAAATAAATACCAAATGTTCTAAAATACTGTATATAGTGTTTTATTCTTTATTCAGTGATTATAAACATCTTTAACGTTATAGAAGATGTTATAGAATGTAATTATAGACCATAAAAAATAACGTCACAGTTACTTTGCTGAGTAACTAATTACTTTTACAATGTGGTAACTGAGTTACTAACTCAGTTACTTTTTGGGATAAGTAATTTATAACTATAACTAATTACTTTTTTAAAGTAAGATGACCAACACTGATCCTGACCCATTCATTCACTGCCCAACGAGGGAGAGAGGTTAGAGCTCAATTCTCTCACTGAACAACAGAAAGTGTATAGAAAGATATAAAAGGGAAAGAAAGAGAAACTGTTCAATTGTAAATATGTGTTGATATTCATTTAGAAAATTTGTTGAGACTGTTAATCAAGATATGAAACAGTTAACAAAGAAAAAGGGAAACTCAAGCTGCTGCTACACTTTATTTTTCAAAGTTAAACACTTTATTTTATTTTTTAGACTTAGCAGAGGATGTGGAAGCAGGAGCTGCTGACCCAGAGCATGTTGCGAGTAAAGCAGAGGAACTTATTGAAGTTCTTGGAGTTATTTCCGCACTTTCTGACCAAGATATTGACCACAGAGTGACTGCAGATTTATAAGAAGTAGTCCAATAGCGCCACCCAGTGTATTGGAATGTGTTCAATAGCTCTGCATCGATCCATTATATGGAATTGATTTGTCTTGGCTTGATGCGCAGGGTAACCAATCAGGCATTAGGTTCCGCCTACCAACTTTTGATGGGTGAGTTTGACAGTTTTAAATACTTCATGAAGCACTGCAACGCAGGACCATGAAATGTAAATGTAAATAGTGAAATAATTATATATGTATTTTACATTAAATGAATCGGTATTTGAATTAATTAATGACACATTTAAGTAATTATTTAATGATGTATTTATTTATTTAATTGTGGCACTTTCAGTCCTCCACAGTCAGTCAATATTATATATATAATTTTAATATTAATATCAATATTATCTATAAATATTCTGACACCTCTCATAAGACATAACTACAGCTGTTAAAAAATGCAGTAGAGTAAAATAAAGTAATAATAATGTCAATAATAATATAATAGATAAATAAATATTCCAGTGAAATATAGCGAGAATAGAAATACTCAATTATTTTTAAAATGGCATAGATAGATAATAGATGTTAATACATTTTATATTCTGCAATATTTTATTCATGAAAAATGCACACTTTCTTGCTCCTATAAAGCATCTTTGAGCATTGTACAGATGCATACACCTCATCACCTTCAGTGATATTTGTCAGTATAGGTCAATTCTGCTTTTTTGTATAAAAGATGTGAAGATGTTTATTAATATGCTTATTTTTAACATGTGTAGTTGTAATGTCTACTCTTTTTATTATTCAGATCTTATTCGCTTCATTGGCTACTTGATTTGACTGCCATGAAGTCTAATAATTTTTGCTGACTCCATGCTGTCAATACTGACACACGTGACAAAACACTTCAGCTCTGTGTTCAGTGGTCTGTGTCAGAGTCTCTTCCTCTTCAGCAGCTGCAGTCGGTTCCTGCTGTAACAGCTCAGTGTCTCTACAGTCTGACTGAGGGAGGTTTTTGTACGACGACAAATCACTGTGTGAACACCCAAGCACTGTTTATTTCATGAGCACTCTGACAGTAATAAACTGCTGCATCTTCAGTCTGAACTCCACTGATGGTCAAAGTGAAGTCAGAGCTGCTTCCACTGCCACTAAACCGAGCTGGTGTTCCTGATTCACGTGTGCTGACATATCTTATTAGGAGCTTTGGAAGCTGTCCAGATTTCCGTTGATACCAGAACATAGCCTGATCTCCATCACTGTATGTGTAAACAGCTTGGTTTGTTTTACAGCTGATAGTGACAGTGGATCCTGGAGTAAATGTCTTTACTGGAGGCTGAGTCACAGTCACCTGACCGCTGCATCCTGCAGACAAAAACGAATCATTCATTTATCAGCAGAAAGAAATGAGAGAAAAGGCAGCACATCATGTTTGAAATGTTGCTGAGTGAATGAACCTGTAAAACAGCAGCAGGCCAGCGTCCAGATGAGGATGGTGATGAGAGTCATGGTGGTTGTGGTTTCTGCTGTGTTGACTGACAGATCTGAGTCCTGCAGTGTTGAACTCACAGGACTATAAACCTTCTCAGTTCACTGGAGGATCAGCTGACAATGCAAAGCCTCCTCTCTATGGAAATGATTTCTCTGCTCTCAACACACTGAAGGCAACGTGGGACACAAAACCAGGAGAAATACTGCTTGGATTTACACCATCTATGATCTTAATGGAATACAAGGAAATATTTATATTAGAAGTGCAGTTGAGGATTTAAGGATAAGTTTGTGTCCACTGTGGTTGGTATGATATGTCTGTTTGTCTGCCTTTAATTTACTTACATTGTTTACTGAAGATGAATAACACATTTCAGTTCTGCTTCATATGAATTTGAAAAAAAATATTTAAAAATATAATTTTAATTTAACCATTGATGAACTGATATAAAACTGTGAAAAAAATGACAAGGTGACTGTTATCATTTCTCTGTCAGGTATAGAAAAGTAAAGCAAAATAAAAGAAAGAACCTTAAATTGTACAATAACTTCAATCCATATAATTAGAAAAACATTGTAAATTTAATAAATTATATTCTTTATGTGTTATTAGTAAGATCAGAGAGTCTTTTCAGTGGATAGATGCTTGTTCACAGTGCAGGAGGTTTTTGTACGGCCACTTAGTGAGTTTGCATCACTGTGGTTGACTTTTGGTGGAGGAACCAAACTCATCATACACTGTAAGTAACAGAGATTTTTATTTTATACAACATGACAGATTATACTACATATTGAAAAACGTCATGTGATAAAACAAGAAATTAATGTGGATATTTTATATTTTCTGGATATTTTCTGTTATCTACCAAGCGTAGCTAACATCACATTTAGGCATAAACACAGAGATTAATGTTCTTTTAGTATTATACATGTTATTATGACACGAAGATTTAATAGAAAAATAGAATTTAATCTATTTAGCTGTAAAATATTAACATATCTGATTGTAAAATTTGTCTGAGCAACATTTTAACATTTCAGGAAACATAAATATTTCAAGTTTATTATTTCAACATTAAAAAAATGTTAGGTATAAAATCTGATGTGAATGCTTTTGCAACAAATAAGTGAGTTTCTTTGTACGTACAGTGTAGCTGCAGTTTGTGTTCACAATTCGTTAGTTTAAAATGGTGAAAAGGAAGTGAAACAGACAGATGACAAAGTCTTTAACTGAATACAGACATTATGTTTTTAAAAAAAGAAGATCATTGCAGGGATAAATCATTAACTGTCACACATTGATGTTAAAATCGAATTTAAGGATCATCATTACAAATTTCTATTACATTTACAAATGAGTCGTGTTGGATTTTACTGTCCAATTCTCAGTGCCATAGTAGATGACCTATTATATTAAATGTCAAAATTAAATCAAGTTTTATTTGTTAAAGCCTCATTTCCTCCCATGTCTCACCTCCTCTCCTCTGTCTGATCACAGTATCGTGCACACAGCTAATCCACAGCAGTGTTAACCTCTGTCATGTATCATAAGTGTCTCATGTTCAGCTGTCTGTCCTACAGAGGAAGTTAATCTGCTCCTTGTGTGTTTCTGCTCTCCCCTCCAGCTGGCCCCATGGTCAGGCCCTCAGTCTCTCTGCTTCCCCCCTCCTCTGAGCAGCTCTCTGGGGGCTCGGCCACGCTGGCCTGCCTGCTGACCCGCTACTCTCCTCAAGGAGCCGCGGTGAGCTGGGAGGTGGACGGTACGGAGGTGACAGAGGGGGTCCTGACCAGCTCAGAGGAGGAGAAGAGCGGACGCTACAGCAGCAGCAGCACCCTGAGCCTGAGCCAGGAGCGCTGGATGAAAGGAGAGCTATACTCCTGCAAGGTCCTCCATCATGACCACAGCCAGACCCAGTCCCTCCACAGGAGCCAGTGTGAGGGCTAGAGGGGCTCACTGAAGCCCAGGACAGGAGCTCTGTGTGGGGGGAGTGGAAGGAACAAACCTGCTGCTCTGATCAATATGAGTTTTAATGTTTGTAGAGGATACTAAAGCTTTGTGAGACAGAGAACAACACTGCTGTAAAGTGTTGGACAACAATAACTTAGAGAGTAATGTGTGTAGCTCAGCAGCTAGATGTGAGTGTGCTTAATAACTGTCATGTTGATGATTGATGTTTTTGCTAATAAAGCTTGAACTGATAAATAACTTTATGAGTGTTTGTTCTGTTGTTTTATGAAGAGTAGAAAGAAATGAAATGGTTTAATAATTTTAACTGATACTCCTCTCTGTGGAGCATGACCGCTTTGGATTTATCATGTCTCTCTCTTTTTTCTTTATTTGTAATGAACTTGATATTATACAATACTATGAACAACTAAAGAATACATGTATTTATCATAATTTTAAAAAATGTGAAAAATGCTATTTGTTAATATCTGGGACTGTGATGTGTCACTGGATTTTTTGAAAGATGTTTTTTAAGTAGTGTGTGGAAAAATATAATCAATATATTACCATGAATGTGTAGTTTGTGCTTGGTGAGGTTACTGTCAGTTCTGTGTTCAGTGGTCTGTGTCAGAGTCTCTTCCTCTTCAGCAGCTGCAGTCGGTTTCTGCTGTAACAGCTCAGTGTCTCTGCAGTCTGACTGAGGGAGGTTTTTGTACGACGACAAATCACTGTGTGAACACATAACCACTGTGGTGACTCTGACAGTAATAAACTGCTGAATCTTCAGCCTGAACTCCACTGATGGTCAAAGTGAAGTCAGAGCTGCTTCCACTGCCACTAAACCGAGCTGGTGTTCCTGAATAACGTGTGCTGACATATCTTATTAGGAGCTTTGGAGGCTGTCCAGATTTCTGTTGATACCAGAACATAGCCTGATCTCCATCACTGTATGTGTGAACAGCTTGGTTGGTTTTACAGCTGATAGTGACAGTGGATCCTGGAGTAGATGTCTTCACTAGAGGCTGAGTCACAGTCACCTGACCGCTGCATCCTGCAGACAAAAACAAATCATTCATTTATCAGCAGAAAGAAATGAGAGATAAGGCAGCACATCATGTTTGAAATGTTGCTGAGTGAATGAACCTGTAAAACAGCAGCAGGCCAGCGTCCAGATGAGGATGGTGATGAGAGTCATGGTGGTTGTGGTTTCTGCTGTGTTGACTGACAGATCTGAGTCCTGCAGTGTTGAACTCACAGGACTATAAACCTTCTCAGTTCACTGGAGGATCAGCTGACGATGCAAAGCCTCCTCTCTATGGAAATGATTTCTCTGCTCTCAACACACTGAAGGCAACGTGGGACACAAAATCAGGAGAAATACTGCTTGGATTTACACCATCTATGATCTTAATGGAATACAAGGAAATATTTATATTAGAAGTGCAGTTGAGAATTTAAGGATAAGTTTGTGTCCACTGTGGTTGGTATGATATGTCTGTTTGTCTGTCTATTAATTTACTTACAGGGTTAACTGTAGATAAATAACACATTTTAGTTCAGTTTTATTATTTTATTATGAAAAACATCATATTTATTTAACCATTCATCATCTGACATGAAACTGTATAAAAAATGACTTTGTAACAAGGAGACTGTAATCCTTTCTCCGTCAGGTGTAGAAAAGTAACGCAAAATTAAAGTAATAACCTTAAATTGTAATAATAATTTCAATCCACATAATTTCAAAAACTTTGTAGATTCAAGAAAGTATATTCTTTCTTTTTTATTAGTGAGATCAGAGAGTGTTTTCAGTGGATAGATGCTTGTTCACAGTGCAGGAGGTTTTTGTACGGCCACTTCATGAGTTTGTATCACTGTGGTGGACTTTTGGTGGAGGAACCAAACTCATCGTTGACTGTAAGTACCAGAGATTTTAATTTCATACAACATATTGAAAATATAACTATTGTCAAATATTGAAGACTCTGGTGAAGTTCAGTGTTTGTATGTTGCTGATTATTTGTGTTATTTTAGCAAATAAGGCTGATCTTACCATCTGAGAGTAAACCTCACAGAAACCAACATTTATTTAACATTAAAAATTTACAGGAACAAAAAAGAAATTGTTTAACTGAAATCAATTTAATTTATTCATTTCATTAATTAACATTCAAACTGTTTTTAAAATGTGATTCCTGTTAAACACGAACATGATCTTGTCATTAAATGCAGCTTATCTTTGTGTTCACGGTTCATTCATTTTACATGTAGTGAAAAGGAAGTGAAAGAGACAGATGACAAAGGTTTTAACTGTATTCACATGAGTGTTTCAGCTCTGTCAGTTTAAACAGAAGAAAATCATCACGGGGATGAGTTATTCACTGTCACACATTATGAAACACAGATGAAGATGTCATCAATAGTCATCATCAATTAACCTTTTTAGTTGCATTTACACTTGAATCATGTGTCTGATGGTCTGATGCTGAGTGATTTATGAGAGAAACAGCAGCACAAGTTATTCTGTTTTATTGGATCAAATATAGAAAATTACTAGTATGAAGTTTGTATTTGTTACCAAGCCTTCGCTCTCATTACTTTCTCTTTTCTCCCCCTCTCCTCCCCACTCCTCTCCTCCAGTGGGTGTGGTGCGTCCCACCCTGACCGTCCTCCCCCCCTCCAGAAAGGAGCTGCAGAAGCACAGTGCCACACTGGTGTGTCTGGCCAGCGGGGGCTTCCCCTCAACCTGGAGTCTGGGCTGGAAGGTGGGGGGCAGCAGCAGCTCCTCAGGGGTGTCACACAGCCTGGAGGTCCTGGGGAGGGACGGCCACTACAGCTGGAGCAGCACCCTGAGCCTCTCTGCAGACCAGTGGAGGAAGGCGGGCTCAGTGAGCTGTGAGGCCAGTCTGAGTGGACAGAGCCCTGTCACTCAAACCCTGGACCCAGACCCCTGCTCAGAGTAGAGCTTCAGCAACACTTCCTGTCTGGAAATGATGCTGCTTCTTTGATAAAGATCTTGATGAAGCTGCAGATCTCCTCTGTTCACATATTTCTGCAAACTCATGACTCTGCTTTCCTTTGTAGCTTTCTGTTACTCGTATTCTGCTTAAAAGCTGTTATTTTTAAAATGTCAAATAATAACTGAATCATTGGAAAATAAAAGTGTAGATTTTAATAAATAACTGACTTTGTATTTCTTTTGCAAAACATAATTCATGAGAAACACACACTTTATCACATTTCATCTTTCCTGCACACTTCATCATAAACTAAAGTTTCTAGTCACTACATATCTGTAATAATAGTATGAAATATAAAGTATAATGTGTTTATCATTTGTAAATAAATCAGTAGAATATTTTTTAAGTTACAGTAGTTTTTTATGCCGCCAAATGCAAAAGAGTTTGTGGAAATACTGTTGGACATTTTGGAAACTGAGTTTGTTTCAGTTTTATTTAGATTCATTTTGGTTCTGCTTGGTTACTTTTGTGTTTTGTGCACTGGAACAGTTTTCCTCTTCACAGTCTCTTCACCAACCCTCTGCACCTGCAGCAGGCCGATTTCACTTCACTCAAACTGAAAGAGGTTTTTGTACGGCTCTAAATCACTGTGTGAACACTCCACTACCATGGAAGCCCAGACAGTAATAATCTCCAGCATCTTCAGCCTCAAGACCACTGATGGTCAGAGTGTAGTGAGAACCAGAGCTACTGCCACTGAATCGAGACGGAGTTCCTGAGAAGAGTTCTGATGAAGAGTATATAAGAAGTTTGGGAGCCTGTCCAGGTTTCTGAAGGTACCAACTGAGATCATCACCGATATCTGAATTCCCTGTGGCGCTGATGGTCACAGTCCCTCCAGGACTACAGACTTGGATTTGTCAGTCTGAGTCAGAAAATTGTTTGCAGAAGACTCTGAAAAGAAAAATTAAATATAAATCTTGAGAATCAGCAGTTTAGATTATAATAAATTAATAGTCATTGATTAAAAACAGATTTGAGGTAAAAGGCAAGGTAAGGGATATTTACACTGAAAATAACAATTTAACAGTTTTTGATAAATTGTATAAAATCTTCTCACCCTGACTCAGAAAACCCAACATGACAAACAGAGTTATTGGCAACTTCATCCTGATGCAGTTTTCAGTGTGAGTGCATGAAAACAGTTCAGACTCTCTGTGACATCAGAACTTAAACTCTGAGGAGCAGTGATGCTTTAAAATCATGCAAAACATATATGGACACACCTGTCTTTGTCAAACTGTGAGGAAGAGATGAGGTGGAGTAAGTATAGGTTCCATCTCCCTGTGGACTGATTAAGCAAATGTAGAAACTTTAGACTTTCTGTTCTTCATCTCTCAGAATGTTTCTGACTTTGCAAAGTCTCCCAGAAGCCTTTCATACATTTGATAATATATGGGGGCCATCATAAAAGTAAAAATCATCATTACCTCTTGCATTCAGTGTAATATTTCACAGTATTATTTATTTATTTTAGTATTTTGGGGGGCAAATTAACGTAGAAAAAAAGGGAAGAGAGCGGCACAAAAGGTTTGTGGTTCACGTTTAAATAAAATAATAAAGACCGAAGGTAAATATTAAGATCAAGCTCCATGTTTGATATTAATATTTACAGCCTAGAATGGAATGCTCGGTGGACATAGCAACGGTAACTATGGGGGAGAGAGGGGGCGGGGCAACAGGAAAATTCCGGTACTTTGAACATCAAAGCCACACTGTATTCCCTTTGTGATGTCATCAGCAGGTCTATATACTTCACAAGGTTCTGAGATAAAGTCATTGCATTTTACACTTCCACCATCGTGAGGTAGAAGATTCATAGATTGGTAAAACATTCGTAAAACATTTGTAGATTCATAGAGGATTTAGATTAGTCAGACAGCTAAACACAATGGCTTCTGACCTGACTGATCCCTTGTCCCCCTACTACTGGACAAGGTCTCTCTTTTCCATTTATTCCGGCTTGACGGACAGGGTGGCTCTTGTCAACCAGTTTGAGGAGCTGAAAATTCAACTTCAGCGGGAAAAGGATGCTGTTAAGGAGGCCTCTGAGAGGGAGAAATCTCTGCACATGTAGTTGGAAGACCTCAAAGTCCACCTACATGACCAAGACCTCAAGGAGCAGGAGAGCATACTCTTGCAAGAGGCCTCTGAGAGGGAGAAATCTCTGCGTGTGGAGTTGGAAGACCTCAAAGTCCAACTACATGAACAGACCTCAAGAAACTCTGAGCTTGTTGCTAAGTTCAAGCCTGAGGAAGAGCTGGTGGACCAGGTGTGTCAGCAGATGGAGGAGGAGTCCTCTGCTGTTTCACAGGACCCAGGACTTGTGGCAGATGGGTATTCTGCTACTTCACCAGACCCAGAATGTGTGGAGGAGAAATCCTCTGCTGTTTCACAGGATCCAGGACTAGTGGAGGAGCCCTCTGCTGGTTTACAGGATCCAGGACTTGTGGAAGAGGAGAGCCCTGCTATTTCCCAGGATCCAGACCTTGAGGAAGAGGCTAAAGTCTGCGAGGAGAATGCTGCAGGGGAGAAGAAGCAGCATTCGGTCTGGAAAAGATTTCACCACTTCTTTGGTTTGAGGAAGAAAAAGAAAAGCAGGCAACAGGACTCTGCATCCAACGGTGGCACCTGAGGCGACTTCTTGATTCTTGACTTGAAGTGGAAATAAAAAAATAAAAGTCTGTGCTAAAAATAATGGGAGCAGAATTGGTGCACGTGCCACCAAAGTGAATTCTGAAATGAGATTTTGAACCTACAGTTACTGCAGAACACGACAAATACAGACATCTGACACACAACTGTCCAAATTTAACATCTATCTTTAACATTTATTAGTGTCGGCGGGTTTCCCTTTGTGCTGTTCAGGGTGGACGTTTGCTTTCAAATCAAGGTTTCTGACGTTAAAGTAAAGTGGGAGCAGCAGAGTTCAGGTACTGTGTGTCACTGAGGTTATCACGTTTGGTTGAATTAACTCGACAGCTCCTCCGAGGTCCAGATACATTAAGACAGCATTCATGTTGATTTACATGTTTGCTGCTCAGAGATAAGAGCATTGTCCTTTTCAAACAAAACACTACAGATCTAAAGTTACCTTTGTATGCACCTAACGTGTGAACAGGTACTGTGGTCATTCACTGTGTTTGTAGTGAATTAACCGTCACCTACTTTTACCGTTCAGTGTGACAGGATTCCCACGTGTCCTCAATAAAACTCAATTATTAGTCATTAGTTGTTATTATTGCTCCATTACCGTACTGTAACTAATATTACTTTAGACAACAATAATTGTGCACGTTTACAGTGTTTAAAGGTTCAGTAATAATACGAAATAAACAAATCATTACCTGCATGCCAACCACACACTTATCTGGATTTTCAGCAAAAAGTTGTTGAGCATTTAGGACTTTAACCTCTGTCATGATCCTTCATCACTGACTTGTTCCGTTCTTTAAAGCCTTTTCCCAAACCTTCACAAGTTTTGTATTCGGATATTATTATTATTATTATTATTATTATTATTATCAGAGCAAGTTCATTGACGTGTCATTTTGACCTATTATTGGTGTTTGTGCACATATATATATCTTAATTTATTCAACTGAATTACAATAAACCTTAGAATTTCCAGAATACCATCATTTTACATTATGTTTGGTATAAAAAAAAAAAAAATAATGTAAAAACATCAAACACTACAACACGTGTATTGAATATTTTGTTTATACTGAAGTATATTTTGTATGTTGGCGACCGGCACAACATACACAAGTCTCACCATGCTTGGATCTCAATCAAGTGTTTGTGCATCATATTTAATTTCCTGTTGTTCCCTTCACTTCTCTTCCTACACAAGACAAAAGGGTCTTCCAGATTAGCTAAAACAATCTGAAGTTAAGAATGAAAGTGAACTACAGTAACTATGGTCAAAGTTAAAGCAGTTAGAGAAATCATTTTACTTATTTGTCTTTTCTTTAAGTTTGGCAGGTTTGTTTAAAACCTGTCTGATTGTCTAATTGCTGGTATCAGTTTACACAGTCGGGCTGTATAAGATTTTAGAAATGCTAACAGGATGTAATACAATTACAATTGGAGACAATCTGTTTAAAGGTTAATTATATATATATGAAATTGATTTGCCATCATCTTAGACCAAAACAATGGGCGCTACAGCGGACCAGACTCCACTGACAAAGCCAGTATTTTTAACTAGCGACTCTAGTTTGGTCAAAATAAACTCTTCATTCCCCAAGCTACGAAAAGGGCTGCAAATACTCACTACTCCACTAAAAGTTGTTTCTGCCACTGACAGACTCAGGTTGTTATTGTCAGTGTCTGACAGCATTATGGAAAGGATCCCTACAGAGATAGACCTATAGTTTAACCACAAACAGCCGTAATATCACTATCACTCTCCACCAGACTCCAGAGACAAAAAACTCATCAAAACCGTCTTTGTTAGTCTTTTCAACAATCACCAACTCTGGCTTGGTGGAAATAAATCCTTAATTCACCGACATAGATGATAAAAACAGCAGATTCAGTTGGAGCAGACTAGTGTTGCACGGTGCACCGATACTTCAATAGTATCGCGATTCTCGGTAAAATGAAAAACGTCACGATTCCTAAATGTATTAATATCGATACTTTTAAGAATGACCGTTCCAGATTTGTAAGAGACGTAATTCATGTTGGTGTGTCCAACGCATGCTTCCAGTGCCTCCCTATGGACGTCTGTGTTTTTTCTCCTCACGTACGCAGCAAAGAAGCTGCAGCTGTCATGTGACAAACACTGTAACGAGATGGCTGCATGTGCGAGCCATGCGATACTGTGGCCGCCGGTCCACGACTGGTAGAAAAAGATGACGCTAGGAGTGAAATATGGAAGTACTTTGCTTACCTTGCTGACAGTGAGGGCAAAGCTACCGATAAGTCGAGACCTGTTTGTCGTCAGTGCTACAAACAAATGCAAACAAAGGGAGCCAACACCTCGAACTCGGTGAAACACTTGGCCTACAAGCACGCCGAGTTGTACAAAGAGTTTAAAGACCAACAGGTTAGTATGTGAAAGATAACACGACCACGTTCATGCCCTTAAATAAGTCAAATGAGTAGGCTATGGTTTATTTTGTGAGAAGTCACTATTTTGCACCACCGTAGTTTGACGAGGCTATCTAGAGAAATAGTAGACTAACTATGGGCATTATCCTCATGGCTAACCAATAGCCTGCCTACGGCTAATTCAACATCTCTGAAAATGCAACTTTCACAGATAACGTTAATAATTTGCAAGCTGCTAAAATAAAGCATACAAACATCAGCTAAAATGATCTACAGGCTATATGATTATAATCAGAGTATGTGCATGTTTGTCAGTGGTTTATTTATATTGGGTTATTACAGCATTCAAAGAGCACAGACCTACGCAAAGGAGGTGTATTTGTGAAACGCCTTGTAAGAAATTATGGACTCAAATATAAAGTTAACCATCAAAGAAATCAGACATTGAAGTACAGGAAACATTAGCCTATATTAATCCATATATCACAGCTTAAATAACATTAGGTTAACTCATTATTTCCTATTATTAATTATGGTAATGCTATGGTTAAGTAAATGTTAGCAGTTATCACTATAACCACTGCATATAGAGATGCTAAGTTAGTCACAAGTTATTGTTACTATCACACAAAAACTATTTAGATTCTCTGTTATGACAAATTTATCACCATCATATTTTAAATATTTCCATTTTCTTCTGCTACAGAAGTCTGGAGCCACGGGCTCAATGGCTGAGTTTTCTCCTCTGAAAGGAAAAGTTGCACAACTGACAGAATAAGTTATAATATCTGAGATATTGCTGCTAAATTTTATTTGTTTTTTTTCAAAGTTCAGAATCAAGATAAAGTTATGTTTTCTCTTATGTTTCTTATGATAACTGAGATAATGCTGCTAAATGTATTATTTTTTTTACCTTGAATGTCATTGATCTAACTTATTTTTTATATTTTGATATTTCATATTTTGTTCAAATGTTTAATATATCTGCTGTTCATATGTACATTCATTAGTGTGCTATATGATTAAAATCTTGTCCCTGTTTTAAAATAAAGCACAGCAATGATATTTGAGAGTGTTTCGCCCTTTTCAGGAAAAGTATCGAAAAAGTATCGAAATCGCAATTCTTGACTTGGTATCGGTATCGAAACAATAATTTTGGTATCGTGACAACACTATCAACAATATGGTGGAATATGTTTATACATATACATTATATGTGTTATACATTTACTTTGCATATAGGCTCTATTTATCTTATTATATCTTTTAGGCTCTCATTATATTTCTATTTTCCATTTTTATTTTTCCATTTTACTATATGTATATATTGTTTTAGATATTGTATATAAGTACTATTCTTTACCATTGTGTGAGTGAAACAACTCTAGTATGTAGTATCTAGTGTATAAGTACAATTTGATATTTACTTTACTTTCTCTTTTTGTGGGTCCCACAGTCCCCCATTGCTGCATGTGTAAAAATTATATTAATAATTGGAAAATTAACCAACTTTTTTCTTTTCTTCTGACCTTATCAAAACCCAGTATGGAGAAACATATTAAATTGGTAGCTCTTCCCTTTGTTCACAAACTGAATTTACACATTTGATTAAAAATAGAAAATAAAATGAAGAAATGACCATAAACTATTGTTATCAGACCAAATAAGGAAAAATGTAATTATCTCATGTGTATTTCAATGTTATCAAAATAGTCAATCACAGACCAAGAAATGTATGTTATCCTACACAGAGACATCATTGACCTTACTTTAGGGGCAATCCCAGAAAACACAGACATGGTTGAACCCCAAAACACGACTTCAGAGTCAGTAAGAATCTTTATTCAACTCCAAAAAACAAGTGATTAGGCAGACAAAAGAACTAAATAATCTTCAAACCAGTAGTCAGGCAGGTAGAGTCAGAGAGGGAATCACTGGAAAGCAAGAACTAACACATTGGACAATCTGGCAGAGAGCAAGTGGAGCTGGACCGGTATATGAATGAGTGACTGATGAGGGGAATGAGAGGCAGGTGTGGAGATAGGGGTGAGGGTGAAGATCAGGTGAGAGGAAACCTGGGAGGCAGGATCAGTAAAGACAGGAGTTAGTGATACATCAGCTAAACACAAGTAAAAAAACATGAAAGATAGTGTGTACCAGGGTGGGCTCATAATTTCACTTGATACAGCATTGGATAAATCATGTGAATATTAAAATAATTATTTTTTAAATTGATAATTACATCAAAATGTTATTGTAATATTCTTAGAACATATAACAAATACCATTTTACAAAGATTATCTATTGTTTTACTTATTAGTATGAATGTGTAGTTTGTGCTTGGTGAGGTTACTGTCAGCTCTGTGTTCAGTGGTCTGTGTCAGAGTCTCTTCCTCTTCAGCAGCTGCAGATGGTTCCTGCTGTAACAGCTCAGTGTCTCTGCAGTCTGACTGAGGGAGGTTTTTGTACGATGACAAATCACTGTGTGAACACACCAGTGAAGGCTTGACAGTAATAAACTGCTGCATCTTCAGCCTGAACTCCACTGATGGTCAAAGTGAAGTCAGAGCTGCTTCCACTGCCACTAAACCGAGCTGGTGTTCCTGATTCACGTGTGCTCACATATTTTATCAGGAGTTTTGGAGGCTGTCCAGATTTCTGTTGATACCAGTGCAAATAATCTTGATTACTGTATGTGAAAACAGCTTGGTTTGTTTTACAGCTGATAGTGACAGTGGATCCTGGAGTAGATGTCTTTACTGGAGGCTGAGTCACAGTCAACTGACCGCTGCATCCTGCAGACAAAAACAAATCATTCATTTATCAGCAGAAAGAAATGAGAGAAAAGGCAGCACATCATGTTTGAAATGTTGCTGAGTGAATGAACCTGTAAAACAGCAGCAGGCCAGCGTCCAGATGAGGATGGTGATGAGAGTCATGGTGGTTGTGGTTTCTGCTGTGTTGACTGACAGATCTGAGTCCTGCAGTGTTGAACTCACAGGACTATAAACCTTCTCAGTTCACTGGAGGATCAGCTGACGATGCAAAGCCTCCTCTCTATGGAAATGATTTCTCTGCTCTCAACACACTGAAGGCAACGTGGGACACAAAATCAGGAGAAATACTGCTTGGATTTACACCATCTATGATCTTAATGGAATACAAGGAAATATTTATATTAGAAGTGCAGTTGAGGATTTAAGGATAAGTTTGTGTCCACTGTGGTTGGTATGATATGTCTGTTTGTCTGCCTTTAATTTACTTACATTGTTTACTGAAGATGAATATTACATTTCAGTTTTGCTTCATATTCATTTGAAATAAAAGAGTTAAAAATATAATTTTAATTTAACCATTGATGAACTGATATAAAACTGTGAAAAAAATGACTTTGTTACGAGGTGACTGTAATCGTTTCTCTGTCAGGTATAGAAAAGTAACGCAAAATTAAAGCAAGAACCTTAAATTGTACAATAATTTCAATCCAAATAATTAGAAAAACATTGTAAATTTAATAAATTATATTCTCTCTGTGTTATTAGTAAGATCAGAGATTGTTTTCAGTGGATAGATGCTTGTTCACAGTGCGGGAGGTTTTTGTACGGCCACTTAATGAGTTTGTATCACTGTGGTATGCTTTTGGTGGAGGAACCAAACTCATCATACACTGTAAGTACCAGAGATTTTTATTTTATACAACATGACCAATTATACTACATATTGAAAAACGTCATGTGATAAAACTATTAAATTTCATTTCAGAGTCTTAAGAAATTAATGTGGCTATTTTATATTTTGTGGATATTTTCTGTTATTTATCAAGCGTAGCTTACATCCTATTTAGGCATAAACACAAAGATTAATGTTCTTTTAGTATTATACACAATATTATGTAACAAAGATTTGATTGAAAAAAAATGAATTTAATCTATTTGGAAATAAAAAAAAATAACATATCTGGTTGTAAAATATGTCTGAGCAACATTTTAACATTTGGTACAAAACATAAAAATTTTAGGCTTTGTTATTCCTACATTAAACAATTGTTAGGTATAAAATCTGATGTGAATGCTGTTAAAAAAAATAATTGAGTTTCTTTGTACGTACAGTGTAGCTGCAGTTTGTGTTCACAGTTCGTTAGTTTAAAGTGGTGAAAAGGAAGTGAAACAGACAGATGACAAAGTCTTTAACTGAATACAGACATTATGTTTTTAAAAAAAGAAAATCATTGCAGAGATAAATTATTAACTGTCACACATTGATGTTAAAATCGAATTTAAGGATCATCATTACAAATTTCTATTACATTTACAAATGAGTCATGTTGGATTTTATTGTCCAATTCTCAGTGCCACAGTTGACGACCTATTATTTCAAATGTCATTAAATCAAGTTTGTATTTGTTAAAGCCTCATTTCCTCCCATGTCTCACTTCCTCTCCTCTGTCTGATCACAGTATCGTGCACACAGCTAATCCACAGCAGTGTTAACCTCTGTCATGTATCATAAGTGTCTCATGTTCAGCTGTCTGTCCTACAGAGGAAGTTAATCTGCTCCTTGTGTGTCTCTGCTCTCCCCTCCAGCTGGCCCCATGGTCAGGCCCTCAGTCTCTCTGCTTCCCCCCTCCTCTGAGCAGCTCTCTGGGGGCTCGGCCACGCTGGCCTGCCTGCTGACCGGCTACTCTCCTCAAGGAGCCGCGGTGAGCTGGGAGGTGGACGGTACGGAGGTGACAGAGGGGGTCCTGACCAGCTCAGAGGAGGAGAAGAGCGGACGCTACAGCAGCAGCAGCACCCTGAGCCTGAGCCAGGAGCGCTGGATGATAGGAGAGCTGTACTCCTGCAAGGTCCTCCATCATGACCACAGCCAGACCCAGTCCCTCCACAGGAGCCAGTGTGAGGGCTAGAGGGGCTCACTGAATCCCAGGACAGGAGCTCTGTGTGGGGGGAGCAGGAGGAACAAACCTGCTGCTCTGATCAATATGAGTTTTAATGTTTGTAGAGGAAACTAAAGCTTTGTGTGACAGAGAACAACACTGCTGTAAAGTGTTGGACAACAACAACTTAGAGAGTAATGTGTGTAGCTCAGCAGCTAGATGTGAGTGTGCTTAATAACTGTCATGTTGATGATTGATGTTTTTGCTAATAAAGCTTGAACTGATAAGTAACTTTATGAAGTGTTTGGTCTTTTATTTTATGAAGAGTAGAAAGAAATTAAGTGGTTTTATCAAATCGAGTGATACTGATACATTGAATTATATAACAATATATTGAAAAGTAAGAATGCATGTTTATGTCCCGATTAAGAAAACATGAACAATCTATTTTGGGAAAATCTGATCAGGTAACATTTTTCTGTATTTCTGACGGTATACAGAAGATGATGTTTTAAATTATGTTTTTATGTACAATGCCAAGAAAAAAATATAATCAATATCTAAATGTGAATGTGTAGTTTGTGCTTTGTGAGGTTAGATTAGATTTTAATAAATAACAGAGCCCTGTCACTCAAACCCTGGACCCTGACTGCTGCTCAGAGTAGAGCTTCAGCAACACTTCCTGTCTGGAAACTCAAACTCATGACTCTGCTTTCATTTGTAGCTTTCTGTTACTCTTTTTTTTTTTTTTGCTCGAGAGCTGTTATTTTTAAAATGTCACATAATAACTGAATCATTGGAAAATAAAACTGTAGATTTTAATAAATAACTGACTTTGTAGTTCTTTTGCAAAACATTATTCATGAGAAACAGACACTTTATCATATTTCATCTTTCCTGCACACTTCATCATAAACTCAGGTTTCTATTCACTACTTTAAACTTTCTATAATAATAGTATGAAATGTATCATTTGTAAATAAATCATCTGAATAATATTAATATTACTATTACAGTAGATTGTTTTGTGCTGCTTAATGTAAAACAACTTTTGAACATTTTTAACTGTCAGTGGATATATTCTAATATGACTTTTTGTGGGAAAATACATCATTTGATCATTTATATTCAACTTAAAGCTGTATTTTGGAATTTTTTTTCTGTTTTATTTAGATTCATTGTTATTCTGCTTGATGACTGTTGTGTTCACTGCAGTTATCCTCTTTACAGTCTCTTCACCAACCCTCTGCACCTGCAGCAGGCCGATTTCACTTCAGTTAAACTGAAGGAGGTTTTTGTACGGCTCTAAATCACTGTGTGAACGTTAGATCGGTATGCAAGCCCAGACAGTAATAATCTCCAGCATCTTCAGCCTCAACACCGCTGATGGTCAGAGTGTAGAGGGAATCAGAGCTACTGCCACTGAATCGAGATGGAGTTCCTGAGAAGAGTTCTGATGTATCGTATATAAGAAGAGTGGGAGCCTGTCCAGGTTTCTGAAGGTACCAACTGAGATCAGCAATATCTGAACTCCCTGTGGCGCTGATGGTCACAGTCCCTCCAAGACTAACAGACTTGGATTTGTCAGTCTGAGTCAGAAAATTGTTTGCAGAAGACTCTGAAACCAAAAATGAAATATAAATCTTGAGAATCAGCAGTTCAGATTATAATAAATTAATAGTCATTAGTTGAAGCCATATTTGAGCTAAAAGGCAAGGTAAGTGATATTTACACTGAAAATAACAATTTAACAGTTTTTGATAAATTGTATAAAATCTTCTCACCCTGACTCAGAAAACCCAACATGACAAACAGAGTTATTGGCAACTTCATCCTGATGCAGTTTTCAGTGTGAGTGCATGAAAACAGTTCAGACTCTCTGTGACATCAGAACTTAAACTCTGAGGAGCAGTGATGCTTTAAAATCATGCAAAACATATATGGACACACCTGTCTTTGTCAAACTGTGAGGAAGAGATGAGGTGGAGTAAGTATAGGTTCCATCTCCCTGTGGACTGATTAAGCAAATGTAGAAACTTTAGACTTTCTGTTCTTCATCTCTCAGAATGTTTCTGACTTTGCAAAGTCTCCCAGAAGCCTTTCATACATTTGATAATATATGGGGGCCATCATAAAAGTAAAAATCATCATTACCTCTTGCATTCAGTGTAATATTTCACAGTATTATTTATTTATTTTAGTATTTTGGGGGGCAAATTAACGTAGAAAAAAGGGAAGAGAGCGGCACAAAAGGTTTGTGGTTCACGTTTAAATAAAATAATAAAGACCGAAGGTAAATATTAAGATCAAGCTCCATGTTTGATATTAATATTTACAGCCTAGAATGGAATGCTCGGTGGACATAGCAACGGTAACTATGGGGGAGAGAGAGGGGCGGGGCAACAGGAAAATTCCGGTACTTTGAACATCAAAGCCACACTGTATTCCCTTTGTGATGTCATCAGCAGGTCTATATACTTCACAAGGTTCTGAGATAAAGTCATTGCATTTTACACTTCCACCATCGTGAGGTAGAAGATTCATAGATTGGTAAAACATTCGTAAAACATTTGTAGATTCATAGAGGATTTAGATTAGTCAGACAGCTAAACACAATGGCTTCTGACCTGACTGATCCCTTGTCCCCCTACTACTGGACAAGGCTCTCTTTTCCATTTATTCCGGCTTGACGGACAGGGTGGCTCTTGTCAACCAGTTTGAGGAGCTGAAAATTCAACTTCAGCGGGAAAAGGATGCTGTTAAGGAGGCCTCTGAGAGGGAGAAATCTTTGCGCATGAAGTTGGTAGACCTCAAAGTCCACCTACATGACCAAGACCTCAAGGAGCAGGAGAGCATACTCTTGCAAGAGGCCTCTGAGAGGGAGAAATCTCTGCGTGTGGAGTTGGAAGACCTCAAAGTCCAACTACATGAACAGACCTCAAGAAACTCTGAGCTTGTTGCTAAGTTCAAGCATGAGGAAGAGCTGGTGGACCAGGTGTGTCAGCAGATGGAGGAGGAGTCCTGTGCTGTTTCACAGGACCCAGGACTTGTGGCAGAGGGGTACTCTACTACTTCACCGGACCCAGAATGTGTGGAGGAGGAGTCCTCTGCTGTTTCACAGGACCCAGGACTAGTGGAGGAGCCCTCTGCTGGTTTACAGGATCCAGGACTTGTGGAAGAGGAGAGCCCTGCTATTTCCCAGGATCCAGACCTTGAGGAAGAGGCTAAAGTTTGCGAGGAGAATGCTGCAGGGGAGAAGAAACAGCATTCGGTCTGGAAAAGATTTCACCACTTCTTTGGTTTGAGGAAGAAAAAGAAAAGCAGGCAACAGGACTCTGCATCCAACGGTGGCACCTGAGTCGACTTCTTGATTCTTGACTTGAAGTGGAAATAAAAAAATAAAAGTCTGTGCTAAAAATAATGGGAGCAGAATTGGTGCACGTGCCACCAAAGTGAATTCTGAAATGAGATTTTGAACCTACAGTTACTGCAGAACACGACAAATACAGACATCTGACACACAACTGTCCAAATTTAACATCTATCTTTAACATTTATTAGTGTCAGCGGGTTTCCCTTTGTGCTGTTCAGGGTGGACGTTTGCTTTCAAATCAGGGTTTCTAAAGTTAAAGTAAAGTGGGAGCAGCAGAGTTCAGGTACTGTGTGTCACTGAGGTTATCACGTTTGGTTGAATTAACTCGACAGCTCCTCCGAGGTCCAGATACATTAAGACAGCATTCATGTTGATTTACATGTTTGCTGCTCAGAGATAAGAGCATTGTCCTTTTCAAACAAAACACTACAGATCTAAAGTTACCTTTATATGCACCTAACATGTGAACAGGTACTGTGGTCATTCACTGTGTTTGTAGTGAATTAACCGTCACCTACTTTTACAGTTCAGTGTGACAGGATTCCCACGTGTCCTCAATAAAACTAAATTATTAGTCATTAGTTGTTATTATTGCTCCATTACCGTACTGTAACTAATATTACTTTAGACAACAATAATTGTGCACGTTTACAGTGTTTAAAGGTTCAGTAATAATACGAAATAAACAAATCATTACCTGCATGTGCTGCTCTTCTGCATGACATCAGCCCTGTGGAAGCCAGACAGCTTGCAGAATCCGTCATTGCTGTAAACTACACGCCACTCCACGATCTGGGCGTTTCCCAGGAGGAAGCTGGTCTCTGATAGATGGACAGGACAGACAGCGCATCAGCCACAGTCACAGCATCAATCATCAAAAGCAAATAAAAGGCTGCAAAGCGTCTTGCAGCCTCTGGAGAGGATTGTAGAAAGATATGGGGGTCAGTTTTAGTTTTCCTCTTAGATGACTCAACATGTCAACTAATGCAAAATATAGAGATTTTAAAGAAATATAGCTGGACTACAAGGGGGGGGAAAGGGACATTTGAACTTGCTGACCATCCAACTGCTGAACAAATATACACAGTAGGTTTATATCTCAGCATTTGGTTCACTTCTGTGAAGAAAAGTAAATGTAAAGTAAACAAATATCAGGGCCAAGAAAACACAGTATGTTTGTTTAAAATTATTTTAAAAAATACATAATACAGACAGAGAATTGTACAAAAAGTCAAAATTCCTGCAAACTTCCTGCAGTTTCCAGTTCATTGTATAGTTTTGAATATAATGTGAAATATGAATAAAATATGTCACTTAATCTGGAGTCGTCAGTTTACTAAATGGTAGAGGGCCCCTTAAGGCAAAAGGTTGGGAACCACCGGTCTACATGCTACTTTAAGGCCAACCAGAGGAGATGGACTGTGTATATTCTGATAAAATATACATATCTAGGTCCATACTTTATTTAGTGTTGGATCTGTAACCATAGTGGTAAAGAAAATGTTTCATTTATTCTGTCCTATACATTGATTTAAATCATTAAAATGAACTAAAACCCAGATTTAATTTAAATTGTGCAACAAGTTTAATCATTTAACAAGTTCCCTTAGACAATGGGCAGACCCACCCGTGCTGGAGGACTGTAACTGTGGACCAGTTCTTCCAGAGGAGTCAAAAACACTTCCCAGTCAGAAGGAAAGATTACAGTAACCAATAAACTCTTTGAAACTACAAACGGTGAGACAAAAAAAACCCCATCCTTTAAAATCCTCTTTCATGCCAACCACACACTTATCTGGATTTTCAGCAAAAAGTTGTTGAGCATTTAGGACTTTAACCTCTGTCATGATCCTTCATCACTGACTTATTCCGTTCTTTAAAGCCTTTTCCCAAACCTTCACAAGTTTTGTATTCGGATATTATTATTATTATTATTATTATTATTATTATTATCAGAGCGAGTGCATCGACTTGTCATTTTGACCTATTATTGGTGTTTGTGCACACATATATATCTTAATTTATTCAACTGAATTACAATAAACCTTAGAATTTCCAGAATACCATCATTTTACATTATGTTTGGTATAAAAAAATAAAATAATGTAAAAACATCAACACGTGTATTGAATATTTTGTTTATACTAAAGTATGTTTTGTATGTTGGCGACCGGCACAACATACACAAGTCTCACCATGCTTGGATCTCAATCAAGTGTTTGTGGATCATATTTAATTTCCTGTTGTTCACTTCACTTCACTTCCTACACAAGACAAAAAGGTCTTCCAGATTAGCTAAAACAATCTGAAGTTAAGAATGAAAGTGAACTACAGTAACTATGGTCAAAGTTAAAGCAGTTAAAGAAATCATTTTACTTATAAGGTTGGTCTGATTGTCTAATTGCTGGTATCAGTTTACACAGTCGGGCTGTATAAGATTTTAGAAATGCTAACAGGATGTAATACAATTACAATTGGAGACAATCTGTTTAAAGGTTAATTATATATATATGAAATTGATTTGCCATCATCTTAGACCAAACCAATGGGCGCTATAGCGGACCAGACTCCACTGACAAAGCCAGTATTTTTAACTAGCGACTCTAGTTTGGTCAAAATAAACTCTTCATTCCCCAAGCTACGAAAAGGGCTGCAAATACTCACTACTCCACTAAAAGTTGTTTCTGCCACTGACAGACTCAGGTTGTTATTGTCAGTGTCTGACAGCATTATGGAAAGGATCCCTACAGAGATAGACCTATAGTTTAACCACAAACAGCCGTAATATCACTATCACTCTCCACCAGACTCCAGAGACAAAAAACTCATCAAAACCGTCTTTGTTAGTCTTTTCAACAATCACCAACTCTGGCTTGGTGGAAATAAATCCTTAATTCACCGACATAGATGATAAAAACAGCAGATTCAGTCGGAGCAGACTAGTGTTGCACGGTCCACCGATACTTCAATAGTATCGCGATTATCGGAAATGAAAAACGTCACGATTCCTAAATGTATTAATATCGATACTTTTAAGAATGACCGCGTTCCAGATTTGTAAGAGACGTATTTCATGTTGGTGTGTCCAACGCATGCTTCCAGTGCCTCCCTATGGACGTTTGTGTTTTTTCTCCTCACGCACGCAGCAAAGAAGCTGCAGCTGTCATGTGACAAACACTGTAACGAGATGGCTGCATGTGCGAGCCATGCGATACTGTGGCCGCCGGTCCACGACTGGTAGAAAAAGATGACGCAAGGAGTGAAATATGGAAGTACTTTGCCTACCTTTCTGACAGTGAGGGCAAAGCTACCGATAAGTCGAGACCTGTTTGTCGTCAGTGCTACAAACAAATGCAAACAAAGGGAGCCAACACCTCGAACTCGGTGAAACACTTGGCCGACAAACACGCCGAGTTGTACAAAGAGTTTAAAGACCGACAGGTTAGTATGTGAAAGATAACACGACCACGTTCATGCCCTTAAATAAGTCAAATGAGTAGGCTATGGTTTATTTTGTGAGAAGTCACTATTTTGCACCACCGTAGTTTGACGAGGCTATCTAGAGAAATAGTAGACTAACTATGGGCATTATCCTCATGTCTAACCAGTAGCCTGCCTACGGCTAATTCAACATCTCAGAAAACGCAACTTTCACAGATAACGTTAATTATTTGCAAGCTGCTAAAATAAAGCATACAAACATCAGCTAAAATGATCTATAGGCTATATGATTATAATCAGAGTATGTGCATGTTTGTCAGTGGTTTATTTATATTGGGTTATTACAGCATTCAAAGAGCACAGACCTACGCAAATGAGGTGTATTTGTGAAACGCCTTGTAAGAAATTATGGACTCAAATATAAAGTTAACCATCAAAGAAATCAGACGTTGACGTACAGGAAACATTAACCTATATTAATCCGTATATCACAGCTTAAATAACATTAGGTTAACTCATTAATACCTATTATTAATTATGGTAGTGTTATGGTTAAGTAAATGTTAGCAGTTATCGCTATAACCACTGCATATAGAGATGCTAAGTTAGTCACAAGTTATTGTTACTATCACACATGAACTATTTAGATCCTCTGTTATGACAAATTTATCACCATCATATTTTAAATATTTCCATTTTCTTCTGCTACAGAAGTCTGGAGCCACGGGCTCAATGGCTGAGTTTTCTCCTCTGAAAGGAAAAGTTGCACAACTGACAGAATAAGTTATAATATCTGAGATATTGCTGCTAAATTTTATTTGTTTTTTTTTCAAAGTTCGGAATCAAGATAAAGTTATGTTTTCTCTTATGTTTCTTATGATGACTGAGATAATGCTGCTAAATGTATTATTTATTTACCTTGAATGTCATTGATCTAACTTATTTTTTATATTTTGATATTTCATATTTTGTTCAAATGTTATATATATCTGCTGTTCATATGTTCATTCATTAGTGTGCTATATGATTAAAATCTTGTCCCGGTTTTAAAATCAAGCACAGCAATGATATTTGAGAGTGTTTCTCCCTTTTCAGGAAAAGTATCGAAAAAGTATCGAAATCGCTATTCTTGACTTGGTATCGGTATCGAAACAATAATTTTGGTATCGTGACAACACTAAGGCACAGTAGAAACCAGTACTTTATTTGAATGATTTATTTTTAAAAAAGTGAGTTGCACCCTTTAAAGTACAGTAAGTGCCAAAATGTATTTAAACAGTGTTAAATGGCTCCACATTATAACAGTTGTCATTGCTGTTGAGGATGGATTATACTTAGAATCTTATTGAATTTTATCATGAATCCTTTGTGAGTTTTTATCATAATGTTTACTGAATAATGTGAGATGGAGAACCAAATTACTGAATCTACCCTCTGTAGCAATGACCACTATCAGAACATGGAACTAGTAACACTTAATGTACTTTAAAACACATTTTGTTTTTCTGGAGTCATTTCCTTTTCCTTTTGTTTTAAGCACTTTATTTTGACTGAGCTCCTTTGATTTCGTGCCTTTTTAAAAAGCACATTGTGTTGAATAAAAAAAGTTGTTAAATTGTCACTGCTGTGTCACTTTCATGTTTTCTAACATTAATAGCTGATTATAATTGTGTAGTAGGCCGACATCAGTATTTCAGTTTAGAATTAATGTCCCACATTATGAGTTGAAAAATATTGAAAATTTTGAGTGTATTACTCCCTAATTATAAGTTGAGGAATATCAATATTTATAAGATAACATTGAGATAATTCTGTAATAAACTGTAAATGCAATTTTTATTTTATATAAACTTAAAACATTTCATCACTAAAATATTGTTGTGTAATCTGTTACAAAATAATTTTTGAGTTCTGTGAACTTATTAGGGTTTACAGTGCAGCAGGCTGATTTCACTTCAGTCCAACTGATGGAGGTTTTTGTACGGCTCTAAATCACTGTGTGAACGTTCCACTACCATGGTTGCCCAGACAGTAATAATCTCCAGCATCTTCAGCCTGAACACCACTGATGGTCAGAGTGTAGTGAGAATCAGATCTACTGCCACTGAATCGAGATGGAGTTCCCGAGTTTCGAGTTGATGCTTGGTATATAAGAAGTTTGGGAGCCTGTCCAGATTTCTGAAGGTACCAACTGAGATCAGCACCAATATTTGAACTCCCTGTGGCGCTGATGGTCACAGTCCCTCCAGGACTAACAGACTTGGATTTGTCAGTCTGAGTCAGAAAATTGTTTGCCGAAGACTCTGAAATGAAAAATGAAATATTAATCTTGAGAATCAGCAGTTCAGATTATAATAAATTAATAGTCATTAAGTTAGTTTTTAGTTAAAGCCAGGTTTGAGGTAAAAGGCAAGGTAAGTGATATTTACACGGAAAATAACAATTGAACAGTTTTTGATAAATTGTATAAAAACTTCTCACCCTGACTCAACATGACAAACAGAGTTATTGGCAACTTGTTATTGGCTTTCAACAACTTCACACATGAAATTGATTTTGTACTTGGTCCAATATGTTCATCCTGTTTCATCTGTGATATTAGCACAATTAAACTATATATTCTGACAAATTAATTGTTTATATTTATACCGCCTTTTGTTTTTTCTTTCAAGATTGTATAGCAATTGATGCAATTAAATAAAGTTAATTCATTTAACTATTAGTATACTCGTACTCATGATATATAAACTACACCATAAGAGACAGAGAGAGACCATGAGATGTGGTTTAAAGGTCTTGAGAAAACTATTTGATGTTGAGTGAGGATTTATTTTGTTGAATTAGAACATTATAACTATACAGCATGTCTCTCTTCAGCAAACACCAGGCCATGATCAGATATTAGGACAGTACAACATTTTCACCTCAACATTACTTCTGAAAATAGTGGTGTGGACGACATCCTGCCTCGTTCCTGTGCCAAAGACACCAAGTCCCAGTGGCTCCAAGGACTACAGACCGGTGGCATTGACCTCCCACATCATGAAGACCCTGGAGAGACAGGTTTTGGAGCAGCTGTGGCCCATGGTCAAACTTCTCTTGGACCCACTCCAGTTCGCCTAACAGCCCCGATTTCTCCAGTGCTTTCAACACCATCCGGCCAGCTCTGCTGGGTGAGAGGTTGACAGCGATGGAGGTGGATGCTCCTCTTGTGTCCTGGATTGTTGACAACCTGACTGGCAGACCACAGTATGTGCGCCTGCAACACTGTGGGTCGGGTAGAGTGGTTAGCAACACCGGGGCCCCGCAAGGATCTGTCCTTTCTCCCTTCCTCTTCACCCTCTACACCACAGACTTCAACTACCACACAGAGTCCTGTCATCTTCAGAAGTTTTCTGTTCACTCTGCTGTGGTGGGGTGTATCGGCAGAGGTGAGGACTGTGGTGGGTGACTTTGTCACGTGATGAGAGCAGAACAATCCACAGCTCAATGTGTATATAAGTACTATTCTTTATCGTTATGTGAGTGGAACAACTTTAGTATGTAGTATCTAGTGTATAAGTACATTTTGATATTTACTTGACCCCAGTGCTGCATGTGTAAAAATTATATTTATAATTGCAAAATAAACAAATTATTATAAATATAAAATTATTTGCAAAAATACTTTTTGTGAACATCTGTGACTGTGATGTGTCACTTGATTTTTGAAAGATATTATTTAAGTAGTTTGAGGACAATTATAAGTAATATATTAGTGTGTGTAGTTTGTGCTTGGTGAGGTTACTGTCACCTCTGTGTTCAGTGGTCTGTGTCAGAGTCTCTTCCTCTTCAGCAGCTGCAGTCGGTTCCTGCTGTAACAGCTCAGTGTCTCTGCAGTCTGACTGAGGGAGGTTTTTGTACGACGACAAATCACTGTGTGAACACACCAGCACTGTTTATATAGTGAGCACTCTGACAGTAATAAACTGCTGCATCTTCAGTCTGAACTCCACTGATGGTCAAAGTGAAGTCAGAGCTGCTTCCACTGCCACTAAACCGAGCTGGTGTTCCTGAATAACGTGTGCTCACAGTTTGTATCAAGAGTTTTGGAGGCTGTCCAGATTTCTGTTGATACCAGTGCATACAGTCCCCACCACAATAGGGGACAACAGCTTGGTTTGTTTTACAGCTGATAGTGACAGTGGATCCTGGAGTAGATGTCACTACTGGAGGCTGAGTCACAGTCACCTGACCGCTGCATCCTGCAGACAAAAACAAATCATTCATTTATCAGCAGAAAGAAATGAGAGAAAAGGCAGTACATCATGTTTGAAATGTTGCTGAGTGAATGAACCTGTAAAACAGCAGCAGGCCAGCGTCCAGATGAGGATGGTGATGAGAGTCATGGTGGTTGTGGTTTCTGCTGTGTTGACTGACAGATCTGAGTCCTGCAGTGTTGAACTCACAGGACTATAAACCTTCTCAGTTCACTGGAGGATCAGCTGACGATGCAAAGCCTCCTCTCTATGGAAATTATTTCTCTGCTCTCAACACACTGAAGGCAACGTGGGACACAAAATTAGGAGAAATACTGCTTGGATTTACACCATCTATGATCTTAATGGAATACAAGGAAATATTTATATTAGAAGTGCAGCTGAGGATTAAAAGATGAGTTTGTGTCCACTGTGGTTGGTATGATATGTCTGTTTGTCTGCCTTTAATTTACTTACATTGTTAACTAAAGATGAATAACACATTTCAGTTTTGCTTCATATGAATTTGTAAAAAAATATTATTCAAAAATATAATTTTAATTTAACCATTAATCAACTGATATAAAACTGTGAAAAACATTACTTTGTTACAAGGTGACTGTTATCGTTTCTCTGTCAGGTATAGAAAAGTAAAGCAAAATAAAAGAAAGAACCTTAAATTGTACAATAATTTCAATCCAAACAATTAGAAAAACATTGTAAATTTAATAAATTATATTCTTTCTGTGTTATTAGTAAGATCAGAGAGTCTTTCCAGTGGATAGATGCTTCACAGTGCAGAAGGTTTTTGTACGGCCACTTAATGAGTTTGTATCACTGTGGTACACTTTTGGTGGCGGAACCAAACTCATCATACACTGTAAGTACCAGAGATTTTTATTTTATACAACATGACAGATTATACTACATATTGAAAAACGTCATGTGATAAAACAAGAAATTAATGTGGCTATTTTATATTTTGTGGATATTTTCTGTTATTTATCAAGCGTAGCTAACATCACATTTAGGCATAAACACAGAGATTAATGTTCTTTTAGTATTATACATGTTATTACGACAGAAAGATTTAATATAAATTGAATTTAATCTATTTAGCTGTAAAATATTAACATATCTGATTGTAAAATTTGTCTGAGCAACATTTTAACATTTCGGGAAACATAAATATTTCAAGTTTATTATTTCAACATTAAAGAAAGGTTAGGTATAAAATCTGATGTGAATGCTTTTGCAACAAATAAGTGAGTTTCTTTGTACGTACAGTGTAGATGCAGTTTGCGTTCACAGTTCGTTAGTTTAAAGTGGTGAAAAGGAAGTGAAACAGACAGATGACAAAGTCTTTAACTGAATACAGACATTATGTTTTTAAAAAAAGAAGATCATTGCAGGGATAAATCATTAACTGTCACACATTGATGTTAAAATCGAATTTAAGGATCATCATTACAAATTTCTATTACATTTACAAATGAGTCATGTTGGATTTTACTGTCCAATTCTCAGTGCCACAGTAGATGACCTATTATATTAAATGTCAAAATTAAATCAAGTTTGTATTTGTTAAAGCCTCATTTCCTCCCATGTCTCACCTCCTCTCCTCTGTCTGATCACAGTATCATGCACACAGCTAATCCACAGCAGTGTTAACCTCTGTCATGTATCATAAGTGTCTCATGTTCAGCTGTCTGTCCTACAGAGGAAGTTAATCTGCTCCTTGTGTGTCTCTGCTCTCCCCTCCAGCTGGCCCCATGGTCAGGCCCTCAGTGTCTCTGCTTCCCCCCTCCTCTGAGCAGCTCTCTGGGGGCTCGGCCACGCTGGCCTGCCTGCTGACCGGCTACTCTCCTCAGGGAGCCGTGGTGAGCTGGGAGGTGGACGGTACGGAGGTGACAGAGGGGGTCCTGACCAGCTCAGAGGAGGAGAAGAGTGGACGCTACAGCAGCAGCAGCACCCTGAGCCTGAGCCAAGAGCGCTGGATGAAAGGAGAGCTGTACTCCTGCAAGGTCCTCCATCATGACCACAGCCAGACCCAGTCCCTCCACAGGAGCCAGTGTGAGGGCTAGAGGGGCTCACTGAAGCCCAGGACAGGAGCTCTGTGTGGGGGGAGCAGGAGGAACAAACCTGCTGCTCTGATCAATATGAGTTTTAATGTTTGTAGAGGAACTAAAGCTTTGTGTGACAGAGAACAACACTGCTGTAAAGTGTTGGACAACAACAACTTAGAGAGTAATGTGTGTAGCTCAGCAGCTAGATGTGAGTGTGCTTAATAACTGTCATGTTGATGATTGATGTTTTTGCTAATAAAGCTTGAACTAATAAATAACTCTATGAAGTGTTTGTTCTTTTGTTTTAGGAAGAGTAGAAAGCAATGAAATGGTTCAATAATTTTAAGTGATACTCCTCTCTGTGGAACATGACACGCTTTGGATTGATCATGTCTGGATTAATCTCTCTCTTTTTTCTTTATTTGTGATGAACTTGATATTATACAATACTACAAACAACTAAAGAATACATGTATTTATCATAATTTTAAAAAATGTTATTTGTGAATATCTGTGACTGTGATGTCACTGGATTTTTTAAAGATGATTTTACAAGAACTGTGTGGAAAAATATAATCAATATATTACTATGAATGTGTAGTTTGTGCTTGGTGAGGTTACTGTCAGCTCTGTGTTCAGTGGTCTGTGTCAGAGTTTCTTCCTCTTCAGCAGCTGCAGTCGGTTCCTGCTGTAACAGCTCAGTGTCTCTGCAGTCTGACTGAGGGAGGTTTTTGTACGACGACAAATCACTGTGTGAACACATCATCATCAGAGATTTCATGGTAACTCTGACAGTAATAAACTGCTGCATCTTCAGCCTGAACTCCACTGATGGTCAAAGTGAAGTCAGAGCTGCTTCCACTGCCACTAAACCGAGCTGGTGTTCCTGATTCACTTGTGCTCACAAATGTTATTAGGAGCTTTGGAGGCTGTCCAGATTTCTGTTGATACCAGAACATAGCCTGATCTCCATCACTGTATGTGTAAACAGCTTGGTTTGTTTTACAGCTGATAGTGACAGTGGATCCTGGAGTAAATGTCTTTACTGGAGGCTGAGTCACAGTCACCTGACCGCTGCATCCTGCAGACAAAAACAAATCATTCATTTATCAGCAGAAAGAAATGAGAGGAAAGGCAGCACATCATGTTTGAAATGCTGCTGAGTGAATGAACCTGTAAAACAGCAGCAGGCCAGCGTCCAGATGAGGATGGTGATGAGAGTCATGGTGGTTGTGGTTTCTGCTGTGTTGACTGACAGATCTGAGTCCTGCAGTGTTGAACTCACAGGACTATAAACCTTCTCAGTTCACTGGAGGATCAGCTGACGATGCAAAGCCTCCTCTCTATGGAAATTATTTCTCTGCTCTCAACACACTGAAGGCAACGTGGGACACAAAATCAGGAGAAATACTGCTTGGATTTACACCATCTATGATCTTAATGGAATACAAGGAAATATTTATATTAGAAGTCTAGTTGAGGATTTAAGGATAAGTTTGTGTCCACTGTAGGTGGTATGATATGTTTGTTTGTCTGTCTTCAATTTACTTACATTGTTTACTGTAGATAAAATAACTCATTTCAGTTTTGCTTAATATGAGTTTTTAAAATACTATTATTTAAAAGCATCATGTGCATTTGACCATTTAATAACTGATATAAAACTGTGAAACAAATGACTTTGTTACCGGTGACTGTAATAGTTTCGCTGTCAGGTGTAGAAAAGTAAAAAATAATATTTATTTATACACAAATTTCAATCCATTTCATTAAAAACATTTTGTACATTCAATATAGTTTATTCTTTCTGTGTTATTAGTAAGATCAGAGAGTGTTTTCAGTGGATAGATGCTTGTTCACAGTGCAGGAGGTTTTTGTACGGCCACTTAATGAGTTTGTATCACTGTGGTGGACTTTTGGTGGAGGAACCAAACTCATCGTTGACTGTAAGTACCAGAGATTTTATTTTATACAACATATAGCAAATGTAACTATTATAACTATTATTATATTGAATGAGACTCTGATCAGTTCAGTGTTTGTATGTTGCTGATTATTTGTGTTATTTTAGCAAATAAGGCTGATCTCACCATCTGAGAGTAAACATCACAGAAACCAACATTTATTTAACATTAAAAATTTACAGAAACAAAATAGAAATTGTTTAACTGAAAAAAATGGATTGATTAATTTAATTAATTAACATTAAAACTGTTTTAAAATGTGATTCCTGTTGAACATGAACATGATCTTATCGTTGAATGCAGCTTATCTTTGTGTTCACGGTTCATTCATTTTACATGTTGTGAAAAGGAAGTGAAAGAGACAGATGACAAAGGTTTTAACTGTATTCACATGAGTGTTTCAGTTCTGTCAGTTTAAACAGAAGAAGATCATCACAGGGATGAGTTATTCACTGTCACACATTATAAAACACAGATGAAGATGTCATCAATAGTCATCATCAATTAACCTTTTCAGTTGCATTTACACTTGAATCATGTGTCTGATGGTCTGATACTGAGTGATTTATGAGTGCAACAGCAGCACAAGTTATTCTGTTTTATTGGATCAAATATAGAAAATTACTAGTATGTAGTTTGTATTTGTTACCAAGCCTTCACTCTTATTACTTTCTCCTTCCCCCTCCCCTCTCCTCCTCCCCCCTCTCTCCTCCAGTGGGTGTGGTGCGTCCCACCCTGACCGTCCTCCCCCCTCCAGAGAGGAGCTGCAGAAGGACGGTGCCACACTGGTGTGTCTGGCCAGCGGGGGCTTCCCCTCAACCTGGAGTCTGGGCTGGAAGGTGGGGGGCAGCAGCAGCTCCTCAGGGGGTGTCACACAGCCTGGAGGTCCTGGGGAGGGACGGCCACTACAGCTGGAGCAGCACCCTGAGCCTCTCTGCAGACCAGTGGAGGAAGGCGGGCTCAGTGAGCTGTGAGGCCAGTCTGAGTGGACAGAGCCCTGTCACTCAAACCCTGGACCCTGACCACTGCTCAGAGTAGAGCTTCAGCAACACTTCCTGTCTGGAAATGATGCTGCTTCTTTGATAGAGATCTTGATGAAGCTGCAGATCTCCTCTGTTCACATATTTCTGCAAACTCATGACTCTGCTTTCATTTGTAGCTTTCTGTTACTTGTATTCTTCTTAAAAGCTGTTTATTTTTAAAATGTCAAATAATAACTGAATCATTGGTAAATAAAACTGTAGATTTTAATAAATAACTGACTTTGTATTTCTTTTGCAAAATATTATTCATGAGAAACACACACTTTATCATATTTCATCTTTCCTGCACACTTCATCATAAACTCAGGTTTCTATTCACTACATTAAACTTTCTATAATAATAGTGTGAAATTAAATTCTAATATATTTTCCATTTGTAAATAAATCATCTGAATAATTTTGATGTTACTATTACAGTAGATTGTTTTGTGCTGCTGAATGCAAAACTGCTTTTGAATATTTGTAACTGTCAGTGGATATATTCTACTAGGACTTTTTGTGGGAAAATACATTATTTGATCATTTATATTCAACTTAAAGCTGCATTTTGTTTCAGTTTTATTTAGATTCATTGTGGTTCTGCTTGGTTACTTTTGTGTTGTGCGCACTGGACCAGTTATCCTCTTCACAGTCTCTTCACCAACCCTCTGCACCTGCAGCAGGCTGATTTCACTTCAGTCAACTGAAGGGGGTTTTTGTACGGCTCTAAATCACTGTGTGAATGTTAGATCGGTATGCAAGCCAAGACAGTAATACTCTCCAGCATCTTCAGCCTGAACACCACTGATGGTCAGAGTGTAGCGAGAACCAGATCTACTGCCACTGAATCGAGATGGAGTTCCTGAGAAGGGTCTTGTTGCTTTGTATATAAGAGGTTTGGGAGCCTGTCCAGGTTTCTGAAGGTACCAACTGAGATCAGCACCAATATCTGAACTCCCTGTGGCGCTGATGGTCACAGTCCCTCCAGGTCTAACAGACTTGGATTTGTCAGTCTGAGTCAGAAAATTGTTTGCAGAAGACTCTGAAATGAAAAATGAAATATAAATCTTGAGAATCAGCAGCTCAGATTATAATAAATTAATAGTCATTAAGTTAGTTTTTAGTTAAAGCCAGGTTTGAGGTAAAAGGCAAGGTAAGTGATATTTACACTGAAAATAACAATTTAACAGGTTTTGATAAATTGTATAAAATCTTCTCACCCTGACTCAGAAAACCCAACATGACAAACAGAGTTATTGGCAACTTCATCCTGATGCAGTTTTCAGTGTGAGTGCATGAAAACAGTTCAGACTCTCTGTGACATCAGAACTTAAACTCTGAGGAGCAGTGATGCTTTAAAATCATGCAAAACATATGTGGACACACCTGTCTTTGTCAAACTGTGAGGAAGAGATGAGGTGGAGTAAGTATAGGTTCCATCTCCCTGTGGACTGATTAAGCAAATGTAGAAACTTTAGACTTTCTGTTCTTCATCTCTCAGATTGTTTCTGACTTTGCAAAGTCTCCCAGAAGCCTTTGTGCTCATAAATAGATGCAGGCTGGCATTCCAGGTTCAATAACTTAATACATGATATTGATTTTGTATTTGGTCCTAAACTGTTTCGATTAATAATTATCAGTCTGTTCGACCTGTTTCAGCCGTGATATTGGGACAAATAAACTATAAACAGAGACCATGAATGTAACTTAACATCAGTGTTTCCAGGCTTTTATTTCAAGAAATTCCTCTGAAAAAAAGTCTTCTTACCCTCCTAGTTGCCATTGGCGTTCATAAGCCTCCATGTATTCAGTTGAATATGAAACTTAATACGTTAATGAAGATCACGTGATACAATCAAAAGGTCCATAACAGCTACTAAATGGATCATGACATGTAGTAGTTTTGAACTACAAGTACACTGCTTTTAAAACAAGAAATTGTATATTTGATATTTTTTGTAAACTGAGGATTTGTTTATATTCATTCTTCTGTTTGTTTTTTGTTTCAAGATTATTTACCAACTGATACAATTCAAAATTAATATATTTTTTTATTCATCTATTTATTCTATCAATTAGTTTCTTGGTGACTTTAAATTAGTTTTACAACCCACATTTAACAGAATCAAAAGACAAAAAAAAAAAAAAAAAGACAAAAGCAAAAAGGTAAGGCAAGAGTAATCACTGGAAAGCAAGAGATGAAACAATCTGGCAGAGAGCAAGGTGAGCTGGGTCGGTAAATGAATGAGTGACCGATGAGGGGAATGAGAGGTAGGTGTGGAGATAGGGGTGAGGGTGAAGATCAGGTGAGAGGAAACCTGGGAGGCAGGATCAGTAAAGACAGGAATTAGTGATACATCAGCTAAACATAAGGAAAAAAACATGAAAGTTAGTGTTTACCAGGGTGGGCTTGTAACTTCACTTGATTCTAACAGCATTGGATTAATCATGTAAATATTATAATCATCATTTTTTAATTGATAATTACATAAAAATGTTAAAGTAATATTCTAAGAACATATAATAAATACCACATGAACAATCAATTTTCTAATTATGTGATCAGACAATATTTTTGTTTTTATTTTTGACAGTAAATATGAGCAGGACATGATGTGTCATTAGATTTTTACTTATTGTTTTATTTATTAGTGTGAATGTGTAGTTTGTGCTTGGTGAGGTTACTGTCAGCTCTGTGTTCAGTGGTCTGTGTCAGAGTCTCTTCCTCTTCAGCAGCTGCAGTCGGTTCCTGCTGTAACAGCTCAGTGTCTCTGCAGTCTGACTGAGGGGGGTTTTTGTACGACGACAAATCACTGTGTGAACACCCAAGCACTGTTTATTTCATCATATCTCTTACAGTAATAAATTGCTGCATCTTCAGTCTGAACTCCACTGATGGTCAAATTAGAGTTCTCTCCGTCTGCTCTGCCAGAAAATCTGGAAGAAAACTCACTTGTAGGATTTTTACCATTTTTCATGACCAGCTTGGGAGCTTGTCCAGATTTCTGCTGATACCAATGTAATCTATTGGTTCCATCTGACCATGTCTTTACCTTTGGGTTGGTTTGACACGTCAGAGTGACTGTAGGTTCAATGGAAGATGTTACCACAGCAGGCTGAGACACAGTAAGTTGACTGCTGGATGCTGAAAAAAGCAGGAAAATATATTTTTCAATTCAGTTCAGTTTTATTTGTGTAGTGCCAATTCATGACAAAAGTTATCTCAGGACACTTTCAAATAGAGCAGGTCTAGCTCATACTCTTTTTCAAGACCGTTTTTAACATGTAACACATAGATGACATATTGAGCAGTTACACAATTTGACAGATTTAATGGTCAAAATAATCCTGACCTCTGAGGCAGCAGCAGGCCAGCGTCCAGATGAGGATGGTGATGAGAGTCATGGTGGTTGTGGTTTCTACTGTGTTGACTGACAGATCTGAGTCCTGAAGTGTTGAACTCACAGGACTATAAACCTTCTCAGTTCACTGGAGGATCAGCTGATGATGCAAAGCCTCCTCTCTATGGAAATTATTTCTCTGCTATCAACACACTGAAGGCAACGTGGGACAGAAAATCAGGAGAAATACTGCTTGGATTTACACCATCTATGATCTTAATGGAATACAAGGAAATATTTATATTAGAAGTGCAGTTGAGGATTAAAAGATGAGTTTGTGTCCACTGTGGTTGGTATGATATGTCTGTTTGTCTGCCTTTAATTTACTTACATTGTTTACTGTAGATAAAATAACTCATTTCAGTTTTGCTTAATATGAGTTTTTAAAATACTATTATTTAAAAGCATCATGTGCATTTGACCATTTAATAACTGATATAAAACTGTGAAACAAATGACTTTGTTACAAGGTGACTGTAATAGTTTCGCTGTCAGGTGTAGAAAAGTAAAACAAAATTAAAGAAAGAACCTTAAATTGTACAATAATTTCAATCCAAATAATTAGAAAAACATTGTAAATTTAATAAATTATATTCTTTCTGTGTTATTAGTAAGATCAGAGAGTGTTTTCAGTGGATAGATGCTTGTTCACAGTGCAGGAGGTTTTTGTACAGCCACTTAATGAGTTTGTATCACTGTGGTGGACTTTTGGTGGAGGAACCAAACTCATCATACACTGTGAGTAACAGAGATTTTTATTTTATACAAAATGACAGATTATACTACAAATTGAAAAACGTCATGTGATAAAACAAGAAATTAATGTGAATATTTTATATTTTGTGGATATTTTCTGTTATTTATCAAGCGTGGCTTACATCCTATTTAGGCATAAACACAAAGATTAATGTTCTTTTATTATTATACACAATATTATGTAACAAAGATTTGATTGAAAAAAAAAAATTTAATCTATTTGGAAATAAAAAATTAACATATCTGGTTGTAAAATTTGTCTGAGCAACATTTTAACATTTGGTACAAAACATAAAAATTTTAGGCTTTGTTATTCCTACATTAAACAATTGTTAGGTATAAAATCTGATGTGAATGCTGTTAAAACAAATAATTGAGTTTCTTTGTACGTACAGTGTAGCTGCAGTTTGCGTTCACAGTTCGTTAGTTTAAAGTTGTGAAAAGGAAGTGAAACAGACAGATGACAAAGTCTTTAACTGAATACAGACATTATGTTTTTTAAAAAAGAAGATCATTGCAGAGATAAATTATTAACTGTCACACATTGATGTTAAAATCTAATTTAAGGATCATCATTACAAATTTCTATTACATTTATGAGTCGTGTTGGATTTTATTGTCCAATTCTCAGTGCCACAGTAGACGACCTATTATTTCAAATGTCAAAATTAAATCAAGTTTGTATTTGTTAAAGCCTCATTTCCTCCCATGTCTCACCTCCTCTCCTCTGTCTGATCACAGTATCGTGCACACAGCTAATCCACAGCAGTGTTAACCTCTGTCATGTATCATAAGTGTCTCATGTTCAGCTGTCTGTCCTACAGAGGAAGTTAATCTGCTCCTTGTGTGTCTCTGCTCTCCCCTCCAGCTGGCCCCATGGTCAGGCCCTCAGTGTCTCTGCTTCCCCCCTCCTCTGAGGAGCTCTCTGGGGGCTCGGCCACGCTGGCCTGCCTGCTGACCGGCTACTCTCCTCAGGGAGCCGTGGTGAGCTGGGAGGTGGACGGTACGGAGGTGACAGAGGGGGTCCTGACCAGCTCAGAGGAGGAGAAGAGCGGACGCTACAGCAGCAGCAGCACCCTGAGCCTGAGCCAGGAGCGCTGGATGATAGGAGAGCTGTACTCCTGCAAGGTCCTCCATCATGACCACAGCCAGACCCAGTCCCTCCACAGGAGCCAGTGTGAGGGCTAGAGGGGCTCACTGAATCCCAGGACAGGAGCTCTGTGTGGGGGGAGCAGGAGGAACAAACCTGCTGCTCTGATCAATATGAGTTTTAATGTTTGTAGAGGAAACTAAAGCTTTGTGTGACAGAGAACAACACTGCTGTAAAGTGTTGGACAACAACAACTTAGAGAGTAATGTGTGTAGCTCAGCAGCTAGATGTGAGTGTGCTTAATAACTGTCATGTTGATGATTGATGTTTTTGCTAATAAAGCTTGAACTGATAAGTAACTTTATGAAGTGTTTGGTCTTTTATTTTATGAAGAGTAGAAAGAAATTAAGTGGTTTTATCAAATCGAGTGATACTGATACATTGAATTATATAACAATATATTGAAAAGTAAGAATGCATGTTTATGTCCCGATTAAGAAAACATGAACAATCTATTTTGGGAAAATCTGATCAGGTAACATTTTTCTGTATTTCTGACGGTATACAGAAGATGATGTTTTAAATTATGTTTTTATGTACAATGCCAAGAAAAAAATATAATCAATATCTAAATGTGAATGTGTAGTTTGTGCTTTGTGAGGTTAGATTAGATTTTAATAAATAACAGAGCCCTGTCACTCAAACCCTGGACCCTGACTGCTGCTCAGAGTAGAGCTTCAGCAACACTTCCTGTCTGGAAACTCAAACTCATGACTCTGCTTTCATTTGTAGCTTTCTGTTACTCTTTTTTTTTTTTTTGCTTGAGAGCTGTTATTTTTAAAATGTCACATAATAACTGAATCATTGGAAAATAAAACTGTAGATTTTAATAAATAACTGACTTTGTAGTTCTTTTGCAAAACATTATTCATGAGAAACAGACACTTTATCATATTTCATCTTTCCTGCACACTTCATCATAAACTCAGGTTTCTATTCACTACTTTAAACTTTCTATAATAATAGTATGAAATGTATCATTTGTAAATAAATCATCTGAATAATATTAATATTACTATTACAGTAGATTGTTTTGTGCTGCTTAATGTAAAACAACTTTTGAACATTTTTAACTGTCAGTGGATATATTCTAATATGACTTTTTGTGGGAAAATACATCATTTGATCATTTATATTCAACTTAAAGCTGTATTTTGGAATTTTTTTCTGTTTTATTTAGATTCATTGTTATTCTGCTTGATGACTGTTGTGTTCACTGCAGTTATCCTCTTTACAGTCTCTTCACCAACCCTCTGCACCTGCAGCAGGCCGATTTCACTTCAGTTAAACTGAAGGAGGTTTTTGTACGGCTCTAAATCACTGTGTGAACGTTAGATCGGTATGCAAGCCCAGACAGTAATAATCTCCAGCATCTTCAGCCTCAACACCGCTGATGGTCAGAGTGTAGAGGGAATCAGAGCTACTGCCACTGAATCGAGATGGAGTTCCTGAGAAGAGTTCTGATGTATCGTATATAAGAAGAGTGGGAGCCTGTCCAGGTTTCTGAAGGTACCAACTGAGATCAGCAATATCTGAACTCCCTGTGGCGCTGATGGTCACAGTCCCTCCAAGACTAACAGACTTGGATTTGTCAGTCTGAGTCAGAAAATTGTTTGCAGAAGACTCTGAAACCAAAAATGAAATATAAATCTTGAGAATCAGCAGTTCAGATTATAATAAATTAATAGTCATTAGTTGAAGCCATATTTGAGCTAAAAGGCAAGGTAAGTGATATTTACACTGAAAATAACAATTTAACAGTTTTTGATAAATTGTATAAAATCTTCTCACCCTGACTCAGAAAACCCAACATGACAAACAGAGTTATTGGCAACTTCATCCTGATGCAGTTTTCAGTGTGAGTGCATGAAAACAGTTCAGACTCTCTGTGACATCAGAACTTAAACTCTGAGGAGCAGTGATGCTTTAAAATCATGCAAAACATATATGGACACACCTGTCTTTGTCAAACTGTGAGGAAGAGATGAGGTGGAGTAAGTATAGGTTCCATCTCCCTGTGGACTGATTAAGCAAATGTAGAAACTTTAGACTTTCTGTTCTTCATCTCTCAGAATGTTTCTGACTTTGCAAAGTCTCCCAGAAGCCTTTCATACATTTGATAATATATGGGGGCCATCATAAAAGTAAAAATCATCATTACCTCTTGCATTCAGTGTAATATTTCACAGTATTATTTATTTATTTTAGTATTTTTGGGGGGCAAATTAACGTAGAAAAAAGGGGAGAGAGCGGCACAAAAGGTTTGTGGTTCACGTTTAAATAAAATAATAAAGACCGAAGGTAAATATTAAGATCAAGCTCCATGTTTGATATTAATATTTACAGCCTAGAATGGAATGCTCGGTGGACATAGCAACGGTAACTATGGGGGAGAGAGGGGGCGGGGCAACAGGAAAATTCCGGTACTTTGAACATCAAAGCCACACTGTATTCCCTTTGTGATGTCATCAGCAGGTCTATATACTTCACAAGGTTCTGAGATAAAGTCATTGCATTTTACACTTCCACCATCGTGAGGTAGAAGATTCGTAGATTGGTAAAACATTCGTAAAAACATTTGTAGATTCATAGAGGATTTAGATTAGTCAGACAGCTAAACACAATGGCTTCTGACCTGACTGATCCCTTGTCCCCCTACTACTGGACAAGGTCTCTCTTTTCCATTTATTCCGGCTTGACGGACAGGGTGGCTCTTGTCAACCAGGTTGAGGAGCTGAAAATTCAACTTCAGCGGGAAAAGGATGCTGTTAAGGAGGCCTCTGAGAGGGAGAAATCTTTGCGCATGAAGTTGGTAGACCTCAAAGTCCACCTACATGACCAAGACCTCAAGGAGCAGGAGAGCATACTCTTGCAAGAGGCCTCTGAGAGGGAGAAATCTCTGCGTGTGGAGTTGGAAGACCTCAAAGTCCAACTACATGAACAGACCTCAAGAAACTCTGAGCTTGTTGCTAAGTTCAAGCATGAGGAAGAGCTGGTGGACCAGGTGTGTCAGCAGATGGAGGAGGAGTCCTGTGCTGTTTCACAGGACCCAGGACTTGTGGCAGAGGGGTACTCTACTACTTCACCGGACCCAGAATGTGTGGAGGAGGAGTCCTCTGCTGTTTCACAGGACCCAGGACTAGTGGAGGAGCCCTCTGCTGGTTTACAGGATCCAGGACTTGTGGAAGAGGAGAGCCCTGCTATTTCCCAGGATCCAGACCTTGAGGAAGAGGCTAAAGTTTGCGAGGAGAATGCTGCAGGGGAGAAGAAACAGCATTCGGTCTGGAAAAGATTTCACCACTTCTTTGGTTTGAGGAAGAAAAAGAAAAGCAGGCAACAGGACTCTGCATCCAACGGTGGCACCTGAGTCGACTTCTTGATTCTTGACTTGAAGTGGAAATAAAAAAATAAAAGTCTGTGCTAAAAATAATGGGAGCAGAATTGGTGCACGTGCCACCAAAGTGAATTCTGAAATGAGATTTTGAACCTACAGTTACTGCAGAACACGACAAATACAGACATCTGACACACAACTGTCCAAATTTAACATCTATCTTTAACATTTATTAGTGTCAGCGGGTTTCCCTTTGTGCTGTTCAGGGTGGACGTTTGCTTTCAAATCAGGGTTTCTAAAGTTAAAGTAAAGTGGGAGCAGCAGAGTTCAGGTACTGTGTGTCACTGAGGTTATCACGTTTGGTTGAATTAACTCGACAGCTCCTCCGAGGTCCAGATACATTAAGACAGCATTCATGTTGATTTACATGTTTGCTGCTCAGAGATAAGAGCATTGTCCTTTTCAAACAAAACACTACAGATCTAAAGTTACCTTTATATGCACCTAACATGTGAACAGGTACTGTGGTCATTCACTGTGTTTGTAGTGAATTAACCGTCACCTACTTTTACAGTTCAGTGTGACAGGATTCCCACGTTTCCTCAATACAACTAAATTATTAGTCATTAGTTGTTATTATTGCTCCATTACCGTACTGTAACTAATATTACTTTAGACAACAATAATTGTGCACGTTTACAGTGTTTAAAGGTTCAGTAATAATACGAAATAAACAAATCATTACCTGCATGTGCTGCTCTTCTGCATGACCTCAGCCCTGTGGAAGCCAGACAGCTTGCAGAATCCGTCATTGCTGTAAACTACACGCCACTCCACGATCTGGGCGTTTCCCAGGAGGAAGCTGGTCTCTGATAGATGGACAGGACAGACAGCGCATCAGCCACAGTCACAGCATCAATCATCAAAAGCAAATAAAAGGCTGCAAAGCGTCTTGCAGCCTCTGGAGAGGATTGTAGAAAGATATGGGGGTCAGTTTTAGTTTTCCTCTTAGATGACTCAACATGTCAACTAATGCGAAATATAGAGATTTTAAAGAAATATAGCTGGACTACAAGGGGGGGAAAAGGGACATTTGAACTTGCTGATCATCCAACTGCTGAACAAATATACACAGTAGGTTTATATCTCAGCATTTGGTTCACTTCTGTGAAGAAAAGTAAATGTAAAGTAAACAAATATCAGGGCCAAGAAAACACAGTATGTTTGTTTAAAATTATTTTAAAAAATACATAATACAGACAGAGAATTGTACAAAAAGTCAAAATTCCTGCAACCTTCCTGCAGTTTCCAGTTCATTGTATAGTTTTGAATATAATGTGAAATATGAATAAAATATGTCACTTAATCTGGAGTCGTCAGTTTACTTTACTTTAAGGCCAACCAGAGGAGATGGACTGTGTATATTCTGATAAAATATACATATCTAGGTCCATACTTTATTTAGTGTTGGATCTGTAACCATAGTGGTAAAGAAAATGTTTCATTTATTCTGTCCTATACATTGATTTAAATCATTAAAATGAACTAAAACCCAGATTTAATTTAAATTGTGCAACAAGTTTAATCATTTAACAAGTTCCCTTAGACAATGGGCAGACCCACCCGTGCTGGAGGACTGTAACTGTGGACCAGTTCTTCCAGAGGAGTCAAAAACACTTCCCAGTCAGAAGGAAAGATTACAGTAACCAATAAACTCTTTAAAACTACAAACGGTGAGACAAAAAAAACCCCATCCTTTAAAATCCTCTTTCATGCCAACCACACACTTATCTGGATTTTCAGCAAAAAGTTGTTGAGCATTTAGGACTTTAACCTCTGTCATGATCCTTCATCACTGACTTATTCCGTTCTTTAAAGCCTTTTCCCAAACCTTCACAAGTTTTGTATTCGGATATTATTATTATTATTATTATTATTATTATTATTATCAGAGCGAGTTCATTG